ACATGATCACAACAGCAGTCCGCTGGAACGAGGCTCGTAGAGCACGTACTTCAGAATCAGCGGCGGGTTTTCACATCAGTCTCCGGCTTTTTTCCGCAATGAAGGTCGGACACGGTACAATCCGTCAGCAGAATGAAAAGGCGAACGGTTCATTCATTAAACACGCGCTGTAAAAGTGAAAGAGTGTCAGGTGCGCAACGATCCGGCAGTAAACACACACATCCAGGCAGAAAAGATCCAGTGGATCCTGCGCTAGAAGAAACAAGTTCATACTCCACAGAAAACAGGGATCATCCGGCGCTTCCCGGGACGCATGGCACGATGTGAGCACTGTAACCAGACGTCACTTGAGCATAACGTCAAAGCTCATGGGTCAATGAGATAAAAATAAAGGGTAAAACAAGAAAGACCAGCGGCAGTGCGAGTGGGAGCCTCCTGACTCAGCAAACGATCGGACGGACGTGAACACTTGCTGTCCACACCGCACACAGGCTGGTCGTGTTAGTGCTGTGCCTCTGCTGTCTTGTCTGTTCAAACCAATGGCACTTTCAGTCATTAATACATTATATTATAAAGTCTTTGACTGTTACTCCCAACAAATAAAAATGCAGTCTCACTGCCAGATTTTAACAAACATCTATGACGCAAAACAAAACACATCGCTTTTGGGGCCCTGTGTGAGCCCCCCACAGTCCTTCAGTACACTAGCCAAAGTCAAAAAAGCCCACCGCAATGTCTGAGCTGAGACATGGCAGGGGCCCGCAGGGGCACCAAGAGGCCCTTTGGGTGCAAGATAACAAAATTTATGCTTTGCTTTCACAAGCAACACTAATTAGACATGCTGCATGCTGACACCACTGTATGATGCGAGTGGGACGCGTGTACTGACCCACACAACTGTGCTACTGCTACCTCAATATTATGGGCTTTCAATGCACTGATCTGCTAATAAAAGGTTGTGATGGTGATAATAGGCACTTATTGCATGATATAAACAAATAAACATTGATTCGACTCCATATTTGAGCATTACTTAGGCTGGAGGTTTCTTTTTTTTCAGACTATCTGGAAGCTGAAACAGTACTGTACACTGTACCTGTGCTGCTGTTCAGTAATGTCAATTTTTTTAATGTTTTTGAGAGGTCTCATGCATTTGATCAAAACAATCAATTGAAATTGTGAAATATCCAAATTACTGTTTTCTATTGTAAAATTGTATTTATTCCTTTGATGACAAAGCTGAATTTTCAGCATCAGTGTCACACGATCCTTTGGAAATCATTCTGATATGCCGATTTGTGGCTCAAGTAACATTTCTTATTATTATCAATGTTGAAAACAGTTGTGCTGCTTAATATTTTTGTGAAAAATTATAGCAATTTTAAATGTCTTTACTATCACTTTTGATCAGTTTAAAGGATCTATCAGTTTAGTCCAAATGATGATGATGATGACGACGAATCCCAAAAGGTTCCAATGAACACAATATTTATTAATAAAACAAACAGGTAATCTACAACATGCAAACTATGACAATACCCAACCATGAACTGAACATAATCAGGAATTTAAATACACAATGATAACAAACTAAATGAAGATGTGTTGATGGCACGAGTGTCCATAGAAACAGTAGAACAAAAGGAACAGGTTTCAACTGATTTATTTATGTATTTATTGAATCTAATTTAATCTAATTGAAGAATATATATATATATAATATATATATATATATATATATATATATATATTAGATAGATTAAATAAATTAAATTATGTAGCTCTAGAATTTCAGCTCAATCAGCCTTTAAATAGTGAAAAACAATCTATTTTACCTGAGAATACAAACATTTTAAATATTGTTTGAAGCAACAAAAGTATTTTTCCTCAATTTTTAAAAACCTTTTTAGAGTCGATCTCCTTGAGGCAAAGTATTGACGCTGAATACCCTGTTTAAAAATAGCATTTGACCCTATAACCTAATCTGCAAAGAATAAAAGCTGTTGTTTATTCTCTTCGTCTCCAGGAATTAGTTGCCAGACTTCCATAATTCTATCCTAACATGCCACTCATAAATAAGCTGCATTACTTTAGTAAATTTGACACTTCTATTTTTAGCCAAGTGTTGTGTATATTTTAATATGCCTTGTTTGCCACAATATAACATCAAAAAAGCCTCAGCACCCTTCAGATCCCCCTCTGAGATCACCAAAATAGCATCATCTCTCCTGAGCCGCAGCGAATCTAAGCTCCCATTCCATCTTATTTCCATCAGTCAGTCTGTGATCTCCTGAAAGGATTATTTTAATTCTACCATAACAAGTTTTTAAACAGGTCTAATATAGTCCAACACCCACGTTAAACGAAGAGAAAAGCTTTGCATTATCATTAAATACAGGAAGATTGCTGAATTATAGGATGCAATAGAGGTGATGACATCACTGACCTACACTGAAAAACTACTTGGTGTAGAATATTTGCATTCAAAAATGGCTAGTAAATTTCACAAACAACTACAAAGAAACGGCAAGCAACAAATTGAATTAAACGTGAAATTTTGACATATAAATATCAAAATAGTTTTTTCTTTATTAGTGGTGCTTGCGAAGTGCAGCGATCGGGCGTATGTCATTTTTGTGGTAACTTTGTGACATCATATCTCCAAATCAGAATGTGGTAGAGCCTTGGGGGTGGGCTCATTTCACTCGGTCTGGCAAGCAAGCAGCCAATAAATGGCGTCATTTCAACTTCCTAGCCATGCCATAGCAACCACACTGTAAACAAAATTTGTTTCAACTTAAAAAAGTAAGTGTTCATGCTGCCTTAAAATGTAGTCTAGTTTAGTCAACTCAAATATCCAAGTTGTCACTTAGGCCCCGTCCACACTACGATTTCGTTTAAAAACTGAGAATTAATACGAATTAATACGAATACGATCTCCGTCCACACCAGCGTTTTAATTCTCCGTTTTTAAACGAAAACGCAGTAGTGTGTACGGGGCCTTAGTTGACTAAAAAGCACAAACACTTTTTTAAGTTGAAAATTTTTTTTCGTTTTTTTTTTTACAGTGTAGGGTGTGGGTAGGCTGTTGGCAGGGGGGGTATTTAAAGACTACTTGGCATTCTGAGTCAAAAGAACAAACCTCCAAGTCTTTGCTAGGACTAGCGTTCCTTTAATGGTTGCTAGGGCGTGGCTAGACAGTTGCCATGAACCCTAAAGCCTACTTACATCTTGTATCAAGAGAAAACTTACATGTCTCTGTGGTATTCTGCACGTTGTTCTGATAATTAAAAGCGCTTGCCAGTCTGCAGAGTCCAAAAAGACCACCCCCATGTCTCTACAATGTTCTGATCCAGAGATATCCACCTCATTCTTTTTCAGTGGAAGTCTATGGGGTAGTTTCTAGGGTGCTGTTGGATTTACTTTAAATATAGTATACTCAACGTCCAGACATCGAGCAGTCATTTCCATTCAAGCAAAAACAAATTATTTCTGTTTGTCAGTGGTTGTCAAAACATGCACTTTTTACATGTATTGCTGAGAGGTGTATATGCTATTTCAAGGCTGCTTGGTTGGTGTACAATTGAGAACATTTCTAAAAGGCAGGGTGGGTTATTGTAGGTCATCTGCCATGCAGAATCTTATTTCTACTCCAGTGCACAATCACGTGCCGGTCATGTACATTCTTGGCCCTGAGATCACAACAACCACAGGGAAGTGTGACCCCTGATCTAACACAAGCTACACGCATTATCCCTCATTGAGAACAGGAATAACAGTCCATTCAGCGAATTTAAAGAACAACAGGCCTTGTTTAAGGAGGATATTAAATTACATGAGAAGAGAAGACATGAATGGATATCTGTCAATAGTTAGTCAAGACTAGGCAGTCATTTCTTGTCCTTTATGTGTAGAGGGAAACATGGGATTTGTTAAACAGGCACCATTTGAGTTTATTAAAGATTCTTCTCTCAGCTAAATAGATTCATAATCAATAATTCTGGATCATTTAATAAATCTCACTTACTCAGCACACTGCTGCATAGTTTATCCTTTTTTAAACCAGAGAATGTTATGACATTATCGTCCAGATATGGTGGCAAGTTATGCAACATTACATTACATTTATTTTATTATTTTTACTATTACTTTAATTCAGCAAGGTCAAGGAATAATATTATTACAATGGTCTCCATATCTGTCTGCACGTGTAACGGAGGCCAGCTAGTAGTTGCTGTGCGAGTAAACCTCACTCCCCTGATCTCAATAGGCGCTCTAGCGACAGAGGCTGCAGTCTTTAGGCTCCTTGTTAGAGCGCCCGACTCTCATGTTGGAGGCCCGTTCGGAGCGGGTCGAGTTGGACCCGGGTGGAGGGGTTACACACGCGCTGGTACATGGTAGGCCAATCACAACAGACTGAGTTGTCTGGCCAATCAGAATAAAGTATTTTAGATCATGAAAAGGAGCGATTTAGGGATTGATTCATTTGAGAATAACTGAAAATGTGTTTCAAAATGTGTTGTAAACAGTTTTTATTATTTTTTTAACCTTTGACACATAAATATGTTGTAGGAGAATCCACAACACTATATTAAGGAACTTTAAAATAGCATGATAGGGGCCCTTTAATCAAGAGTTTTTGTATTAACGATTTTATAACGATTAAATAACAAATATACTATTCCCACACCTAAAATACATATTTTACAGCCACTGCATTGCAAATTGAAATCCACTATATTGTAGTGAAACGCATCTTCAGAAAACTTTGGAAGTTCCATGGGACAACCTGAGACTTGGCAACCAAGGGTGAGATGGATTTGTGACTGGCGTAGGGTGAAGGGCTTGAGTTGTGCCTCTTCTGGGTCTAATGTGACAATTTTTAGGGTGTCAGTGTATCAGATGAGAGACAATTAGACAACACATAGACTATGCTATGTTGTAGAACCATTCCAATGGCCCTCACATAATTACACAATTATGAACAATGTAATTCAGGAGCCAAACAAATGTAATTATTTATTATAATTTGAAAATAAATTATGATGTATGCCAAGACTGTCTTAATTCCTGGCCCTCTGTCGTTTACTCTTTCTGCTTTGCCTGAAGCTGATGGTCATTGTTTCTCTTCAGTATATTTGTCAAGTTAAATATTTGTGCAAGAATCAACTTGGTAATTAATTGAAATTTTGAAAACTAAATATGGCATTTTCAATGTCAATTTGAGCTCACGGTTTAAAAATAGATTGTACCAACTTTTTTTTATACCCAAAGACATCATAATATGAGAAAGTGTATTTATACATAAAAAGCTGACGATTTGGCCTGAAAGCGAGTCAATTGCATAAATGTAAAAAGTATATATACATATACATACTGTGTAATATAAAATATATGGATATATAGTATTTTCAAAAAAATCATCCATTTAAGAATGCACATTTTCATCTTATACAAAACAATTTCCCATTTTGCAAAAAACGAACATTATGTCATTGTTCAGTTGAGAAAATTGAGCTGAAAGACAGGCTATCACTATGAATCATGGAGGTGTACAGAGAGCCTGGCATTGTCACAATAATGGGCATGATATTTTTTGATTCATGATGTCAATTGGCAGTTTTATTCAAGTAGACTGACTCTGAAATCATCAATCTTAATATATGCAGTTCCCTTAGGATCTCTGAAGCTCTCGTCTCACTGTTGCTGCCAGACTAAAAGTCTTCATCTGCATTCACGTCTGCTACTCCATCTTCCGACTCCTCCTTATTTCTCAGTTCTGCCCTGCCCGTCTCAGTCTGATAATAGTCTGACTCAATCCACCCGGGGCAATTGGACAACGTCACAAAGATGTCTTCGTCTACTTCCATCACTTTGTGCACTCTTTGCTTTATGCCTTTGGAATACCACCGCGGGGTAGGGTTTTCTTCCAAGGGGTTTTTGGCCCTGTATAACCCCTCACCGTCAGCCAGAGAGATCCTATACTTGTGCTTTGGGCACACAATACAGTGCTTGTTGTTGATTTCCTATGCATGAGACATTAAACAGGGTCAGAGTTCAGATGGGAGGTAGCAAAGCGTTGCAAGTGCTTCTATGGATCACTGAATGATTCAGCTGCTTGAGCAGTAATGGTTTTACCTCGATATCTCCTGTCTCCAAGCTACTGCCAGCATCTGTTTGAAAAAAAAAAAAAAAGGTGTCATTAGCAGACATATCAGACCTGAACAAATGACCTCTGGTTCGGTGCTTATGCTGTTAGTTTAATAGTTGGCACACATGCTCAACACACAGCAATGCTTACAGTGCTCAGTCTGCTAGTTTGTCTCCCTCTAGTGCAAAGATGCTTTTCATGCTACTCACGGTAACACTGCAGGTCCATCGCATGGAAAGTTCTCTGATGATATATTATAAGAATCTCTCTTCCGTCCAGAGTTACAGTCATTCTCTTGGCCTGAATGAGATGATCCTTCTTGCCGATAAAATACAAACGAGAACGCTTCTTTTCATCCATGGATGTGGTGGGGTTATGTCTTCTGTGGAAACAGTTAAATATATCTCACTTATTTCAACGTAATCCACCAACTAGTCAACAAAATTTATAATAAATAATTTCAGTGACACTTTACAATATGTGTGTGTGTGTGTATATAAATATATATAAAGACAGTATATAACATGTAACAAAGTCTGTAAATATATATGTATGCATACATGTCTAGCATATATATATATATATATATATATATATATATATAAATACACACACACACACACACACACACAGAGACATTATACATTTACAAACTTTGTTACGTGCGATTAATAGATGTCATCATCAAAATAAAAAGTTGCCTGCTTTTTAGACTTTTTTTGTGTACATTTATAAGTGTCCATGTTTGTGCAATATTATATAAACCATAGGACTTCTAGTTACAAATAAAACAATATATAATATTCTAAAATGTAAATGGTAAATGGACTGCATTTATGGCCACCAAAGCGCTTTACATTGCCTCACATTCACCCATTCACACACACATTCATAGTGTCAGCCATGCAAGGCGGCATTGTATATTATAAAATGTATATTAGCCTATATACTAAAATGTATATTATATACTATAACATTTTGTATAAAGTAGCTTGATATTGTTCTAAAGTGAATACAAAGAGGCCAATATGTCCAATATCTACAACATAAATCAGCTAGGCTTCTCAATTCACGTATCAAATCAGTTAAAAAGACTAAATGCATTAGCATTTAACACATTTAATCCAATTTAAATGAACTCTTTAACTGTGCTAATATATATGGACATTGCTGAGCATACATTTTAAACAGGTTTACCTTGTATTTGTCCTGGTCGTTGCGAATCTTGTGAAATGTGCGCCCAGTAACGTTTAAATGTCTTCTGGTCTGAAGGATCCCGTTATCTCAAGCCACCGGGTGTTGCGTCCAGGACTAGTATCAGCCCTGCAGATCAGGACCGATCAGGACCCACTCAACGGGCTCAACATTATCTATGTTTCAAGTATAAAACTTTACGTCACATCATTAACTGACAGATTAATACACTTGGAGAACATACCAAAAGGAATTTTTAAAAAGTTGCATTTGATTGTAATTTGCCCAACTATCGGCATCATATATGACATTATTTAAACCACTCATTCCTTTTATTTTTTATTAAATAATACGTCCTTTCCCATCCAAATAACATATGTTTTACCTTTAAAACCACAATAAAATGCATAATTCTCATATTACTACTTAGGGAGCCAATCAGAGAGCGTACTCTTGTACATCATCTTTGCGTCACAGCTGCGCCATCAAAACAGAAAGTAGCTTTCATATTTAGCTCTTTTACACTTGTCATTTGCTTATTAATGAAGAAGGTTATGTTTTATCTGTTCTAAACAACAAGGAACATTCTAGCATTACCGACTAGACGTAAGTAGAATAATTTCTTAAGTTAATAAAGCAAGCAAGCCATAACACATTAGAGTGGCTAATGAATGTGCTAGCATGCTAAGTACTTGCATGTTAAACTTACGAGTCCAATTTAAGTTAGTTCATTATTATTTCTAACACAAAATTTGTATTTAAATCACTGAAAACGCATTTACGAGACTTGTAGGTCGCATTATCTGGCTGGGGGCAAAAAACATCTTAAACCAGGTGGTTCAAAAGTCTTGTGACCAAACGTTAGTTACATGTTAGGTATTTAGGTAGGTATTTTGCAGTGTTTCCTTGTAGAAAGCATAGTGAAACCTCTTTGTGTTAAAACTGTAAGACAATTGCATGTGCTTTACCAAGCATTTTTTATTCTAAGATGTAAAAAACAAACAAAAGAAAAAACATAAAATTTCTAAGATAAATCAGCTAGTGTTTCCCCAACCATTGTCGACCGGACAATTCTTCTTCCATCTTTTCATTTCAACAGTAAAGTTCATTGTGCAGCTCTTTGTTTGACAAAATGTTTATATTATTAATTAATGTTTTATGTCTTCAACTTATTACCAGAAGAAGAAGAAAAACAGAATGTGTGAAACAACAAAATGCAAGAATTGCTCAGAAATTACAAAATTTAGGCACGGGAGCATTAAAGGAAAATTAATTTATTTATTTTTTAAAATAAATGTTATATTTATGTACCAAATTTATGTGCATTCTTGCCATTTCAGTTCACTCTAAAAATCCACCAATACAAACAACCGCTTTTCAAACATCGTCTCATCTGAAATTATGATTTTAATAATTATATGAAACATGTTCTATGTTAAAACTATAATTGACAGTTGCATGTGCTTTACTAGAGTGTTTATTTCCAGGTCATGGCACTGCGGGCATGTGGATTTGTCATTTTTCGGCGTTTGGCCCAGCACCCTCCCCCTGATAATATAGAGTTCCTGCTGCTGCAGACATCGTATGGAGAACACCACTGGACACCACCCAAAGGTGCATCTCACACAGTTTCTCATGATCCTTTTTAGTGTTGGAACTCACTGAACTATCAATTTCTTTTAAAACTATAAGCTTTACCTTTAGTTCTGTTAACTTAAAAGAACATATGATGGCTTATTTTCAACATAAAGTCTCTACTAACAGAAAATGAGTCCATGAGACATTATCAGAAGAGCGCCTATAAATATCATCCACCTATAAATATTCTCTCTTGAAATTAAGATTTACACAAATTTACAGTTTCAAGTAAATAAAAAAAAAAACATTTCGCTGAGGAATTAAAGTAAACCACAACCGCTGCCACAAGTACTGGTGATTAAAGAGTAGGCAGTTTTCGGGAGTTACTAGCAAGAGCAAGCTAGCTTTGAAAGTATAAGATCCCACCCTCCCTCCAGAGCACAAAACGAGAGATGGCGTTAAACTGCATCATGGATGATGTCTCAAACCACGTCATTACAATAATAATGATTATAAACACCTTAAAGAGCACTGACCTGTACCCACCTGACTGCTGCAGATTCATTTCGGCATTGTTAGTGTTGCCATTGAAACGCATAAATTATTATTAATAATATACTGTATACATATATAAATACATTTAGACCACTTAACTTAGTGACCTACCCTATCTTTAAGTCACATTACCAGAAGCAAAGAGAGGGACTAATTCTACAAAAATAACAAATACCTAGAAGGTAAATCATCTACAATAGGTCTTCTCACACTGCAACATGTCAAGATATCCACCATGATACTAATAAGTGCGAGTTAAAAAAAGTAACAGTATATTGCTTTTTTCTATTTAAAGTATATATATATATATATATATATATATAAATCAACCACAACTTCTTACAGTTTGTCACATGACCTATCAGTAAAACCATGTGACTATCTGTAATTTCTTAGTATTGTAACTGGAAGAATAACATTGTCCTTCCCCTCTAAGGTCATGTTGACCCTGGAGAGGACGACTTGACCACCGCCTTGAGAGAAACACAGGAAGAAGCAGGTTTAGGTAAAGATCACTTGCGTATTGTCGATGGTTTCCTGCAGAGGTTGCGCTATCAGGTCCGGGGAAAGGACAAAGAAGTCCTCTACTGGTTGGCAGAGCTCTGTGACCCAAACACACAGGTCATTCTCTCAGAAGAACACCAGGATTACCGTTGGGCAAAACTAGAGGAAGCCTGCAAGATGGCAAAATACCAGGACTTACAGGACACACTTACAGCAGCACAGCGGCATCTAGAAACACAAGGCAAACAGTAACATTTTACACTTGGATTTGATATTTAGACACTGATGGTGTTGAGTAAATGCATTCATCTTTGTAAAATTGTTATAGTGAAAATGATATATGTGTAAAGAGATATTTGACATGACATCCGTCCCTTTTGCTCCCAAGCTTTTTAGATCTCTACTTGCTAAGCTGAATTTAATTTGAACTCATATTAAATTGCTCCAACATAGTTAAAAATGTTAAGATAAACTCACAACCACTAAATCTCCACCAACAAACAAAACAAAGCTGACATTCATTTGAAGAATGTTCAGGGACACGTTTTTATCCGAATCAAGTGATATCGAATGAAAAAAGCCTTATGGAAACAGTAAAATTCGATGAAATTTCATGAAAATCGACTCAAATGAAATACGTTCGGTCTCATCGAATTTTCTCTTGATCGATATACGGCTAATGCGATAAAAACTGATGGAAACGTTATTTGCCGAATAAATAATTAATTGCGATTAAGTTATGCCCTTTTATGGTTGCAACACGTCAGAAGACGAGTTCATTTCCGGCCAGTCTGTTTGCGCACACATGGCGGATGTCAACAAAGATAGATGTAAGTGGACAAAGCAAAAAGATGCTTCAACCAAAGGGTTTCCGTGAACCACGATCTCCCAGAACTGATTGAGCGCTCGTTCCCAAACCACAGTCACCTCCGCTGTCGTCGGGCATCGGCATCGCATCATCATAGCAATGTTTATAGCGTCGTTGTTTTCTTGGGTTAGTTTTGCTTGTTTTTACGTGGCTTGGTTGAATTCTAATGTAGAATGTGGTCTGTTATTTCTAGTTAACAGACTGCGGCGCTGCTAGTATAACACACCGTTGCCATGGACGCAGTTCAGAGACGGAACAGACTATTTTATTTAGCAGAAGCAATACTCGTTTTTAAATCAATAAACTCGTTTTTGAGTCAATATTTTGTGTCAAATGATTGATTTATTTATTTATTTGGTTGATTTATATGTAATAAGCAGGATAATATATAGCGAGGCGGTTGTGAGGCGAATACAACAACGGCCTCGCATTATCCCATTCATATGTCGCTATCAGCTGGCACATAAGCATTATTATTAGCCTTCAACTTCTGAAATATTGATCATTTTTTGGTAGATGGCGCGATCCGTTTTGTCTAACAAAACTTTGTTCGCAAAAGTTTGCTTGAATGTTGTTCGATTCAGTGCGAAAATAAATGGAAACACCTTGAAATGTCTCAAATCAATTCGATATACCAATTTGATCGCAAAACAGCATGTGACGTCATTACGTACAGGTTTTTATTCGCTTTAAAGCCGTTGGATGGAAACACTTTCACCAGCTTTATCCGCATGAGTTTTTTAACCGAATTTCAGATAATTCGATTGACAAGTGGATGGAAACATGTAAGTTAAGCTCTAAGGACGCCAAGCTGCTGCTACATATTCAAAAAAAAAAAAAAAAAAAAAAAAAATCTGTGGTAATCAACAGTGTGCCTCATAAATCTTACATTGTATTTAACCTGAAAAATGTCTTGCGAGAGAAGACAATGTGGTCTATGGATGGTCACTTTTTATACACCTAACTATCCCATCTAATTATCACTTTTGTTTGCATAAGTTTATCTGCATACTGTACATTTTTTCCCAAGTCGCAGTTTAGGTGACCAGTAATTAAACAATATAAGTGAATCAGAAATTATTTAAGGTTATTTTGTGGGCTCCTGGATCATGCAGATTGTTCTAAATTACCTATAATGAAGCCAGTAAATAAAAACCAATGCTCATGAACCAGTGCCATTTTAGTATTATTTATACATTACAGTTTTGAATATTTTAAACAAGCTTTTATTTGATGTTTTCATTTGTTAAATTATGTTTTAATTTTAAATGTTTTTTATTTAAAAAAATATATATTTCTAAATTATTTTAGTACTTGCGTTTAAACCTTAGTTGCTTTATTTCAATTAACAAGAATGTTTTTAATGGTTTTAGTTAAAAATCACAACACTGTCATTAACTGAAAGCACCTATAAATGTGTTGTCTAATGGTTTAATTGCTAAGGAGCATCAACTCCTGTACATACACACAAACAAAAATGAATTGAATTGTGATCATACAAGCACAGTCTTAAAAATGATCATACTGGACATCCCACCCACCCCACACCCTCACCACAAAACTCAAATACTTATGTTTAGAATAGAAATAGGGATCAATTTCGATTCATTCTTACTGTTTTTCCATTTTTCTTTACGTGAATCTTTAGAATGATATTCCCTTTAACATTACAAGAAAAAGGAAATGCATTGAACTTAAGAGCAAATAATGAATTCGGCTGTTCGACAGGAATTCGACAGGACCACAATTCCTGTCTAAGAATTAGCATATGAAAAACAAAACAAAAAATTCTTAATGAAACATTAAAAACAATCATGACACAAATAATAAAATCCTTCAAGACAAATCCACTGTCGTCTAATGTCACAACACTTTGAAATGAACTTGGTTGTTTTGCTGTGCACAGGGGTGTAAATACACCAAGAGTCTCTTGCTGAACGTGAAAAATCCAGTCCGTTTTAATCGATTCACGTCCCCGTTGAGCCACCTTGGCTCATAGTCCAGAGGTTCAAAGAGCGATCGAGTCTGGAAGGATTGTTCTTGATAGTTCAGTGAGTTCCAGATGCTCGGCAAAATAAGAGAGCACCGTTCCCTCAAGATCCTCAGATCCACACTCCCTTTTGGAGGGGTTTCGTAGGACGAGGAATCAGCATCCGTGTCCTTGGCTGGTTTGCGGGAATAAAGGTGTACCTGAGACCCCATGTGCATAAACGTATATGCTTCCACCCCCATTAATGAGAGACCTCAGGGATTCGCGTGCCTCATTGGATGATTGACACATCATATAAAACACATTAAAACACACAAGCATGCTCTTGAAAGCTACGGCCCACCGTGGCCAACGCAAAAAAAAAGCATAAGACCGGGGATGAGAGGGCTCACATTGGTAAGCGAAATGTCCTCAGCAGTCACTGATCTCGAACCCCGAACTTAAACACCCAAGATTATCCTCAAAATCAGTGAGGAAAAAGGAGAAATAGAAATGGTTTGGTACAGCAGCTCAGACAGTCATACGTGATCACTTACCAAGAGTGTTAAGTGTACACTTAAAAGCATAACAGTATGATTACCTTCAGCCAAAATCAATCGGTTCAAATATTCGGAGCCAAACGCGGGACATCATCGAAGTGACTTAAACAGTCTCATCATAGTATCTGGGTCAGCGAATGAAGGTGTGTTGGAAGTAGTTGTAATGCTTGTGTTGCTGAGCACTTGAAAGCACCTTCATGTGCCATATAATCTGACACCGTGATTTAATGGCTCAAAAAGCTTAAGTGATTTGGGGGTACGAGCTGCGCATAAAAGGGATGCATGTAGTTAGCAGTTGTGAAGGTGACCCTGCTGATGTGGATGACACTTAAATAGTATGAAGAAGAAACAGTCTATTCATTGTCCATTTTTTCCACCCTTGAATACTTACCTTTTTTAGGGGAAAAGTGGTAAATTAGGTACATACTGTAGAGAGGAATCAGTGAAGCCCTATACTGTAAAGACAGTTATGAAGAATCTGTACATACTTGAAAATCTGGGAAAAGAACAGGACATTCATTTGTTGGTGATTTTACCAGGCATAAATGGATGAGTTTAAAGCAGTAGTTCACTTTAAAAAAAAAAACTTTTGCTGATAATTTACTCACCCCCATGTCATCCAAGATGTCCATGTCATTCTTTCTTCAGTCGAAAAGAAATTAAGGTTTTTGATGAAAACATTCCAGGATTTCTCTCCATATAATGCACTTTAATGGGAACCAAACGGTTCAAGGTCCAAAAGACAGTTTCAGTGCAAACTGTTCAAAGGGCTTTAAATGATTCCAGACGACGAATAAGGGTCTTATCAAGCGAAACGATCGGTCATTTATATAAAAAAAAAAAAAAAAAATTTAAGCTCAAATGGTCGCCTTGCTCTGTTCTGTGATGAGCGTTCGTGACTCTCCTGTTCAAACTCATTCATCAAAATGAACAAATCTTTTTTGGAGTCATTTGGTTCATTCAACAAACGAAATGAACGAATTGACTCGGAATAAGATTTGTTCATTTTGATGAATGAGTTTGAACAGGAGAGTCATGAGCGCTCATCACAGAACAGAGCAAGGCGACCACTTGAGCTTATAAAACTTTAACTTTTTTTTTTTTTTAAATGAGCGATTGCTTCGCTTGATAAGAACATTATTCATCGTCTGAAATCATTTAAAGCCCTTTGAACTGAAACTTTGCACTGAAACTGTCTTTTGGACCTTGAACTGTTTGGTTAACAGGAAAGTCCATTATATGGAGAAAAATCCTGGAATGTTTTCATCAAAAACCTTAATTTCTTTTCGACTGAAGAAAGCAAGACATTTTGGATGACATGGGTGTGAGTAAATTATCAGCCAAAGTTTTTTTAAAAGTGAACTACTCCTTTAAGGGTTAGTTACCTCATATATATATATATATATATATATATATATATATATATTATCATCATTTACTCACCCTCATGTCATTCCAAACCTGTGTGGCTTCCTTGATTGAAACCGGTACACTGAATTCGGTTACGAAACACGCAACAATCAAGCAAATTTGCCACGTGAATGCTTCAATGAAATTTTAGAATGAATAACAACTTAAGTTTTGGCTTTTTCCTCTTCTGAAGCCATCGTATAGCTACAAAATATTCAGAATATAGCTCACTAGTCATACTATTATGGTGTTTTAGTGTCGTTTTAGGAGCTTGTCTGAAATCACATAGTACATTTGACGAAGAACAAACTTTGCAACTGTCATGTTACTTGTGAACGGCACAACTCCTCTCCTGTGGCCTCATGGGATAGTAAAGTGTCCATCAGATGCTCACTTTAGAATCTCGCTGGAAGTAATAGGTCATCCAGATATTTACTGTATCAATACTATGAATTCAGACTAACTATTTTCATGTCCGGACTACGGAGCAACACCTACTATTTAGCAGGAAAATAGGCATATTCGAAAACAGGGATTTTTTTGTTTTAATTTTTAGGAAAAAGCAGCTCAAACATCCTTAAAAATGTCAATTTTTTTTGTTCCACGGAAGAAAGAATGTCCTACAGGTTTTGGAACAACATGAGGGCGAATAAATCATAACAAAATTAAAATTTTTGTGGGAACTAGCCCTTAAAATTTTTAATATTTTTTTTTTTAAAAAGAACATGTTTAAGGTGGCCTGACAAGCTCTGAATATCCAAAAGCCCTGAGGTTAAGAGGCAGGAGAAGGTGGGATGTGAAATGTAACCACAAATGACTGGTTTTATGAACCCATGGTGTACTTTAGGGAGGTGGGAGGTGCTATAAGGACAGAGATCTGAAGGGTTTTCAGAGTGAAAATGAAAGCTTTAAGCATAGGAAAAGAGAATCTGAAACATGAGGCTGTAGGGGTAAAGAATAGTGTGAGGGCGAAGGTCAGTGTCACGGAAATGGTGGAAGGAGGTCAAGACTCCTCATTGCCAGAGTCGTCTTCATCGCCAAAACAGTCCCCGGCCATTTCGCTGCCAATCCCAACGGCCTCTGCCTCGTCATCCTCATCCTCATCCTCCTCTATATCGTCGTCATAAAGATCGTCGTAGAGCAGGTCGGAGCTACTGTCGTGGGAAGGCACTTTGGTCTGGATGCAGTACTCGGCTAGCGTAGTTGGTACTTTTACTCCATCCCGCTCTGCATCTGCCTTAGTGGACATCACCTGCTTCCTGTGCACGACGCAGACACAGTGTCAGAAAATCAATTCAGTTTATTGTTACAGCTACCGGATGTATTGTTACCGGATGTGTTGCCAAAATGGAGGCCGAGTGGCACGACTTGCCACGACTTGAAATTATTCCGCAAGGATGTATTAAATTGATCAAAAGTGAGTGTAAAGATGTTTATAATATTATCAATATTATCTATTTCAAATAAAAAATGTTTTTTTTAACTATCTATTAATTAAGGAATCATGAAAAAAGTATTGCAGTTACAACAAAAATGTTAGGCAGCAAAACTGTTTTCAACATTGATAATAATAAGTTTCTTAAGCATCAAATCACCATATTAGAATGATTTCTGAATGATCATGTGACACTGAAAACGTGTAATGATGCTAAAAAATATCAGCTTTGACATCACAGAAATAAATCAACATTAAAATGAACAAAACACTGATTTTAAATTGCAATCTTATTTTACAACATTACTGTTTTAACTGTATTTTTGATCAAATAAATGCAGCCTTGGTGAGAGACTTCTTTCAAAAACATATATATATATATATATATATATATATATAAAAGTTTTAAACATTACTCTATAATTTCACTTCTTTTTCCAGTTTTCTACTAAGGGATGTTTTGTTAGAAAAGAATGTCAATAAGAGAAAAGTTCAAACTTTCAAAAAGTTGTTTACTTGCCCAAAGACACCCAGGACAGTATGTCCTAAACTTCAGTGGGATGTTGCAATGTAAGTGTGTTGGGCCAAAATTTGGCCCCAGATAATGTTTACTCTAGATCTCTGCCACTTCAGTGGTATAATTAAATTTTGGCATTTCCTGAAGAATATGTAAGTATTTCTGCTATGTTGTAGATCCTCATGTTGCTGTTAGAGCATTGATATACAGTTGCAAGAGACTTCAAAGTAAGTCTATGGAATTTTTTTTTTCACACGTTTTACGGTTCGATAGGCTACAATTGTAAGTCTGATACAACAAGCCACACACTTTAAAATATTATTTAGTTCTGTAGTAGCATAGACAGTGCAGGAAAAGTTATACACTGAAGTTTAAAAACTTTAGCTAGCATCTCAAATAATATATTATTCATTTAACTTTATGCACTTTATACATTGTGCGTTGAAACAAATAAAAATGCAACAAAAAAAATACAATTGGAAAATCTTGTTAATATATAACGAATTCAAGTGCAGAAAAAAGGTGTCTTTAAACTTAATATAATTTGATGGAAAAAGCTGACTTTGTTTTTAATGCAACTAGTTAAGTGTTGGTACCTTATAATCTCTGCATATTCCTTGTCCTTGCCTTTGCTGTCCCTCCACTTGCGAAACATGACCGAAGCGTCCACATTTGCAGGAGAAAAGGTGTTGGGTTCATTCAGCAGTGAGATCACGCTCAACAGGATTGTTCTGCAAACACACACACTACCATAAATTTGGGGTAGGTAACATTTTTTTTTAATGTTTTGAAATAAGTGTCTTAATTTGTTTGATCAAAAATACAGCAAAAACAGTAATATTGTGAACTATTATAATTGAAAATAAATGTTTTAATATTTTAATACATTTGAAAAAAAAGTCATTTATCCCTGTTATGTCAAAGCTGAATTTTCAGCATCATTACTCCAGTTTTCAGTGTCACATGATCCTTCAGAAGTCATTCTAATATGCTGATTAGTTGCCCAAAAAACATGTATTATTAGGTGTTCAAGCACGAAGTGCTGAAAACCTATTGTAATTGTACTGATTTTTATTAGGGGTTCAAGCACGAAGTGCTGAAACCCTATTGTTTTTGTACTGATTTTTATTATTATTATTATTCTCCCCTAAAACGCATCGTGCAGCCCAAACCGTAAGGGCTAGAGCTCTGAAACTTTGTCAGATGGTAGTACAAAAATCGAGGAGAGGTTATCAAATTATGAGCCCGATTGGCCCATAGGTGGCGCTATAACAACCAATTGCGCAAAACTGCCCATAACTCCTAGACCGTAAGTCGTACACTCAAGTGTGTTATATCATTGGAAAGCTATTCACCTGACGAAAAAAACGTATATCTCCGATTTCATTTCCGGTATGCAAATTTTTCCGCCATTTTGAATTTTGTTGAAAAACTACTTTTGCAAACTAGTCCCTGGTTTTTTACCCGATTGGAACCAAACCAGTGCAGAAATGTTCTCTGGAGTCTGAAGATCAATAATTATCAAAATAATGTTGAAATTTCTCGTTCCGGTCGCTAGGGGAAGCAAAATAAACGTTGTTGGAGGAGCCTATTTTACTAAAATGGCTATAACTCGAGAAGTAAATGAGATATCTTCACCAAACTCGGTACACATGTGTAAGAGTTCAATTTGAGGTCACAGTAAAAAAATAGAGACAATTGAACACTAGGTGGCGCTATAATATGAAAAAAACATAAAAAGGGCTATGACCACATGACCGTTAGTCCGATTGACTTGAAAATTGGTATGCAGTGTCTTGGACCAAGGCCCCATGTATATCTATGAGGACATTTGCGTATCTAAAAAAACATGGCCGCCATCGGCCAATGAAGTTTGTGCATCTATGAAACAAGGTTAACGAAGGCCGATCGGAACGAAACTCGTTGGGCATGTTTGACTCATGGCCCTAGAGGTCTGTAAGAATTTTGAAAGAAATCGGCCACTAGTTGGCGCTAACGAGTTTTATGGCTCTGTTATCACGTGGTGTTGCACACACCCCCACAATATGTATATCAATTGATAGATCTCCTCACGTTGAACAACTTTGCCTCAAGAACCATTGCTGTCAATCAAATTGTTCGTTAAATATTCACGAATATGTTAAAAACGTACTTTTGCGAACTAGTCCCTGGTTTTTTGCCGGATCGGAACCAGACCAGTCTAGGACAATTCTTTGGACACTCTAGATCAATAATTATCAAAAAAAGTTGAACTTTGTCATTTGTTTTGCTATAACAGGGTCATTTATAAAAGGGGGCATGACAAAATGCACCCAAAAGCCTATAAATCCTAAAGGAAAAGTCAGAACTTCACAAAAATTGATGAGCACATGTGTCATAACTTATTCAACAAGCATGCAAAGTTTCATGGAGATCGGACTATAGGTGGCGCTATAACTGTTAAAAATGTTAAAAACAATGTATTCCCTATGGTAAATTGCCATTATTGAAACTTAAACCTTAATGTCTTTTGATGCTTTTGTGCTTAAAGGCCTTAAAGGCCTAAACTGCTTGAACCCCGCTAAATGCTGCTTGCAGCTTTAATTAGGGGTTCAAGCACGAAGTGCTGAAACCCTATTGTAATTGGTAGGATTTTTATTAGGGGTTCAAGCACGAAGTGCTGAAACCCTATTGTAATTGGTAGGATTTTTATTATTATTATTATTCTGCCGTAAAACGCATCGTGCAGACCAAACCGTAAGTGCTGCAGCTCTGAAACTTTGTCAAATGGTAGTACAAAAATCGAGGAGAGGTTATCAAATTATGAGCCCGATTGGCCCATAGGTGGCGCTATAGCGACCAATTGCGCGTAACTGCTCATAACTCCTAGACCGTAAGTCGTACACTCAAGTGTCTTATATCGTTGGAAAGCTGGTCACCTGACGAAAAAAACGTATATCTCCGATTTCATTTCCGGTATGCAAATTTGTCCGCCATTTTGAATTTTGTCGAAAAACTACTTTTGCGAACTAGTCCCTGGTTTTTTACCCGATCGGAACCAAACCAGTGCATACATGTTCTATGGAGTCTGAATATCAATAATTATCGAAAACATGTTGAAATTTGTATTCAGGGTCGCTAGGGGGCGCAAATTGATCGTTGTGGGAGGAGCCTATTTTACAAAAATGGCTATAACTCGAGAAGTAAATGAGATATCTTCACCAAACTCAAAACACTTGTGTAGGAGGACATTTTAAGGTCACAGTAAAAAAACGGCGTTGATTGGCCACATGGTGGCGCTATAACATTAAAAAAACATAAAAAGGGCTATGACCACATGACCTTTACCCCAATTGACTTGAAAATTGTTATGCAGTGTCTTGGACCAAGGCCCCATGTATGTGTCTGAGGACATTGGCGTATCTCAAAAAACATGGCCGCCATCGGCAATGAAGTTTGAGCACCTATGAGACAGGGTTAACGGAGGCCGATCGCAACGAAACTCGATGGGCATGTTCGACTCATGCCCCTAGAGGTCTGTAAGAATTTTGAAAAAAATCGGCCACTAGTTGGCGCTAACGAGTTTTATGGCTCTGTAATCACGTGTTGTTGCGCACATCCCCACGAAATGCATATCATTCGATAGATCTCCTCATGATGAACAACTTTGCCTCAAGAACCATTGCTGTCAATCAAATCGTTCATTAAATATTCACGAATATGTTAAAAACCTACTTTTGCGAACTAGTCCCTGGTTTTTTGCCCGATCGGAACCAGACCAGTCTAGGATAATTCTTTGGACTCTCTAGATGAATAATTATCAAAAAAAATTTGAACTTTTTAAATTTGCGCATGGTGTTAAATGGTCATTTAGAAAAAGGGCGTGAGAAAATGCACCCAAAAGCCTATAAATCCTAAATGAAAACTCAGAACTTCACAGAAATTGATGAGCATATGTGTCATAACATGCCGAAGAAGCATGCAAAGTTTCATTGAGATCGGACTATAGGTGGCGCTATAACTGTTAAAAAGCTTTAAAACCATATGTTTCCTATGGTAAATTGCCAGTATTGGCTGTAAAAAATTTGAGCACCTATGAAACAAGGTTATCGAAGGCCGATCGCAACGAAACTCGATGGGCATGTTCAACTCATGGCCCTAAAGGTCTGTAACAATTTTGAAAGAAATCGGCCATTAGTTGGCGCTAACGAGTTTTATGGCTCTGTAATCACGAGGTGTTGCGCACATCCCCACGAAATGCAATTTCATTTGATAGATCTCCTCATGATGAACAACTTTGCATCTAGAACCATTGCTGTCAATCAAATTGTTCGTTAAATATTCACAAATATGTTAAAACCTAATTTTGCGAACTAGTCCCTGGTTTTTTGCCCGATCGGAACCAGACCAGTCTAGGACAATTTTTTGGACTCTCTAGATCAATAATTATCAAAAAAATTTGAGATTTGTCATTTGTTTTGCTATAACAGGGTCATTTACAAAAGGGGGCATGACAAAATGCACCCAAAAGCCTATAAATCCTAAAGGAAAAGTCAGAACTTCACAAAAATTGGTACGCACTTGTGTCATAACTTATTCAGCAAGCATACAAAGTTTCATGGAGATCGGACAATAGGTGGCGCTATAATTGTTAAAAATGTTAACAACAATGTATACCCTATGGTAAATTGCCATTATTGAAACTTAAAACTTAATGTCTTTCGATGCTTTTGTGCTTAAAGGCCTTAAAGGCCTGAACTGCTTGAACCCCGCTAAATGCTGCTTGCAGCTTTAATTATTATTATTATTATTATTATTCCGCCGTAAAACGCATCGTGCAGCCCAAACCGTAAGAGCTGGATCTTTGAAACTTTGACAGCTGGTAGTACAAAAATCGAGGAGAGGTTATCAAATTATGAGCCATATTGGCCCATAGGTGGCGCTATAATAATCAATTGCGCGAAACTGCTCATATCTCCTAGAATGTAAGTTGTAGATCAAGTGTCTTATATCACTGGAAAAGCTGGATGCCTGAAGGACAAAACGTATATCTCGGATTTTTAATTTATATGCAAAATTTGTCCGCCATTTTGAATTTTATCTAAAACCTACTTTTGCGAACTAGTCCCTGGATTTTTGCCCGATCGGAACCAAACCAGTGCAGAAATGTTCTCTGGAGTCTGAATACCAATAATTATCGAAAAAAAGTTGTATTTTCGATTCAAGGTCGATAGGGGGTGCAAAAATGAACATTTTGAAATTAGGCAATTTTACTAAAATGGCTATAACTCAAGAAGTAAATAAGATATCTTCACCAAACTCAATAGACATGTGTATGAGGACAGTTTGCGGTCACTGTAAAAATACTGCATCGATTGGTCACATGGTGGCGCTATAACATTAAATAAACATATAATTGGCTCAAAACATCTGACCATTTGTCCAATTGACTTGAAATTTGGTATGCAGTGTCTTGGTGCAAGTTACCATGTATGTCTAAAAGGATATTGGCATATCTCAAAAAACATGGCCGCCATCAACCAATGAAGTTTGAGCACCTATTAGACGAGGTTAACGGAGGCTGATCGGAACGAAACTCGAGGGCATATTCGACTTGTGGCACTAGAGGTCTGTAAGAATTTTCATAGAAATCGGCCACTAGTTGCGCTAAAGAGTTTTATGGCTCTGTAATCACGTGGTGTTGCACACATCCACACAAAATGAATATCATTTGATAGATCTCCTCATGATGAACAACTTTGCCTCTAGAACCATTGCTGTCAATTGAATCGTTCATTAAATATTCACAAATATGTTGAAAACCTACTTTGCGAACTAGTCCCTGGTTTTTTGTTGATCAAAACCAAACCAGTCTAGGACAAATCTCTGGAGTCTCTAGATAAATAATTATTGAAAAAAAGTTGAACTTTTAAATTTTTTGCATGGTATAAAAGGGTTATTTTGAAAAGGTGTGGCATAATGAACCAAAAAGCCTATAAATCCTAAAGAAAACTCAGAACTTCACAAAAATTGATGAGCATATGTGACATAACATGCTGAAGAAGCATGCAAAGTTTCATGGAGATCGAACCGTAGACATAATATATAATTCATATTATGTCTTTATCAATTTCAATAGTTTAACAATAATCACATAATCACAATAATTTAGTCCAAAAGGGTAGGGGTGGCAGTGGCTCAGTGGTTCATGTAGGTTGTCTACAAACCGAAAGGTTGGTGGTTCGATCCCCGGTTCCGCCTGACCAAGTGTCGAGGTGTCTGTGAGCAAGACACCTAACCCTATAATGTTAGCCAGTGCAGTACAATTCTCTGAACTCTCTTGATCAAATTATAAGAAAAAGTTGAACTACTTCATGTGAATGCCTATAATCGATGGCTTCAACATGTAGCCTTGAAATGAATGCTCAGATGTTAAACACAAGTTAGAACACGTGACATTAAAAACTCATGAACATTTTCAGACAGATCGGACAAAATATGCCTATACAACAGTTAAAAAGGTGAACATGATATCAACATGATGGTCTATTAAGCCAATAAGTGGAGTTTTACTGCCCCCTGCTGTTCAAATTGTCATTTGTCATGACTACTCAACTATAATTCATATTATGACTTTATCAATTCACTAGTTTAACAATAATCACATAATCACAATAATTTAGTCAAAAAGGGTAGGGGCGGCAGTGGCTCAGTGGTTCATGTAGGTTGTCTACAAACCAAAAGGTTGTGGTTCGATCCCCGGTTCCACCTGACCAAGTGTCGAGGTGTCTATGAGCAAGACACCTATCCCTATAATGTTAGCCAGTGCAGTACAATTTTCTGAACTCTCTTGATCAATTATTATAAGAAAAAGTTGAACTACTTCATGTGAATGCCTATAATCGATGGCTTCAACATGTAGCCTTGAAATAATGCTCAGATCTAAAAACAAGTTAGAACACGTGACATTGAAACATCACGACATTTTCAGACAGATCGGACAAAATATGCCTATATTCAGTTAAAAAGGTGAAAATGATATCAACATGATGGTCTATTAAGCTAATAAGTGGAGTTTTACTGCCCCCTGCTGTTCAAAATTGTCATTTGTCATGACTACTCAACTATAATTCACTAGTTTAACAATAATCACATAATCACAATAATTTAGTCAAAAAGGGTAGGGGCGCAGTGGCTCAGTGGTTCATGTAGGTTGTCTACAAACCGAAAGGTGGTGGTTCGATCCCCGGTTCAGCCTGACCAAGTGTCGAGGTGTCCATGAGCAAGACACCTAACCCCAGCTGCTCCGACGAGCTGAATGGTGCCATGTTATGGCTGACACCGCCGTCAGTGTGTGAATGGGTGAAAATGTGAGGCAATATGTAAAGCGCTTTGGTGACCATTAGGTCTATGAATGTGCTATATAAATGCTGTCCATTTACCAAAATTACTATGACAACTGTCACATTTACTTTGACAACTGTCACATCTAGCTCATGTGATTCTAATGATCTGAGTGATCTGTTAGGTTTATATTCAGTGAGCATATCTGTAATATATTGAGGTCCTAACCCATTAAATGATTTATATACCAGTAATAATACTTTGAAATCAAATCCTAAATGTAACTGGGAGCCAGTGTAAAGACCTGAGGACTGGTGTGATCTGCTCATATTTTCTGGTCCTGCTCAGACTCCTGGCAGCGGCGTTCTGTATGAGCTGCAACTGTCTTATGGTATTTTTAGGAAGGCCAATGAGGAGATACAGTAATGCACCCTGCTGGTGTAAGCAAGCATAATGGAGATAAAGGGATAGTTCACTTTGAAATTTAATTTTCGTATGTTTTAGCTTACCCCAAGGGTATCCAAGATGTAGGGTGACAAAATGCACCCCAAAAGTATATAAATCCTAAAGCAAAACTCACAACTTCAAAAAAAAAAATGATGAGCATATTGTGTCATAACATGTAAAAGAAGCATGCACAGTTTCATGTAGATCAGACCATAGATGGTGCTATATCTGTTAAAAGCATTAAAAACCATGTATTTGCAATGGTTAATTGCCTGTATTGGCTGTAAATGGTGTTTCCATCTATTATGTCACTGGATAAATGTATGTTTAATAAAATTTAATGCCTTTTGATGCTTTTGTGCTTTAAGGCCTTAAAGGCCTAAACTGCTGAACACCGATAAATGCTGCTTGCAGCTTTAATTATTATTATTATTATTCTCCCCTAAAACGC